ACCCACGGGCTCAGGCAATCCACTCACCTCAGCCTCCCAAAGGCGCGGGATTACAGGCTGAGCCACCGAGCCCGGCTAGGGCTTGTTTTTTTAAGGGACTGATAGGGTGTCATCGTTTTGAGTTAAGGCAGGATGATTCTGGGACTGCTTCAATGCGTCTGTGTTTCTTGAGAAGATAAATACAGTACTGTTTATTAGGGCTCGTGAATACAAGAAAACAGCCTTCCTTAGGCCATAGGTCAGCTAGCAGAGAGAGGAGACCTAAATGTAAGAGAGGCAGGACAGGTGAGTTTGATGTGAGGTGGGTGGAAAAAGACTGAAGGGAAGGAAAATGAAATGCTGAGGGGTTTCTTGGCGAGTCCGAGAGCTACTTGATCACCCTTGACTACCCGTGGTGCAGGTTTGGGAGCCCACTATGGTTGGCTGAAGAAGACAATTTTGACCTAACGCATAGTTTTCCCCTGGACCAGTCTGACAAACAGAATTTTTTTTTTTTTTTTGAGTTGGAGTCTCACTCTGTTGCCCAGACTGGAGTGCAGTGGCCGCTCCCGGCCACCGCAGCCTCGACCTGCTGGGCTCCGGCGATCCTTCTGCCTCAGCCTTCCGAGTAGCCGGAATTACAGGCATGCGCTACCACGCCCGGCTGATTTTTTGATTTACTGTAGAGATGAGGGCTTGCCAAATTGCCCAGGCGGGTCTCAAACCCGTGGGCTCAGGCAATTCACTCACCTCAGCCTCCCAAAGGCGCAGGATTACAGGCTGAGCCACCGAGCCCGGCTACAAACAGAATTTTTAAAAGGATAAACCTTCTAGCATGGTCTTAGATCATGACTTTCCTGAGGATCGGTTTTCTGAATGAGACTTCCCTTTGCCAGTAGGAAACTAGATAACTAAAGATGAGATGCAGAGTTAGCTACCATGAAAGCATGAAATGTTGACCAAAATATTGCACAAGTTGCTTCTGGTTTTCAGGAAGTCCCATCCAATGGCATTTTGCATCTTTTAAAATGAACAAGAAACAATTTTTGCTTGGATTTCCACAATATAAATTTGTGACTTTTGTGACTTTAGGATGAAGCTTCTTTCTTGAAAAAAAAAAAAAAAATTAAATCATACTGGCAAATCAGATGGATCATTCCAGCTGCGCCAGAGGCAGGATCTGACAGCTTTTCCTGAGCTCATGTGGTCCTAATCAGCTCAAGAAGAAAAACCACCTTGGTGCCAGTTTGAAAGGGATTTTTTAGTGTGTGATAAATTAGAGAACTTGAAGAACACACAGAAAACTTTTGTGATTCTCTTGAATCTAGTGGCTGTTGTTTTTATTTTCAAGTTTTAGGTTTAGATAGCAGAAAGGATATTTGTATCAGTTTATTTCACAAAATCCTTTTGTGAGGAAAAAAAATATATACAATGTAAGAAAAGAGATGGATATTCTTCAAACCAATAAGCCTGGGAGTAAATTCATAACCATGCCTATAAACTATAAAGAGAAAGAAGCAGAGGGAGAAGAAACACATATATAGATTATATTTTTAATATCACGTCCTTGTGATATAGTCTGAGTACTTCTAAAACATAACCTGGCATCTTTGCTTTATCCCAAAGCTTACTTTTTGTTGCCCAAAAGTTTTGAGTCAAGCAGCTTATGTCTCTCTCACTAAAATTCACTGATCACATTCTAACATCTCTAGAATTACATTTTAAAGTTGTACTCTAGGAATTAGTTTTTATTTTAAAGATCTCAAGACTTTTAAATGGCCTCTTCTTAGATTTTACAAGGTAAACCTGAAGACATAGTGAGGATAAACACGTTTTCACAGGCTCACTTAGAATCCCGAATGGTCCCAGACATCATTGTGATCGCTTCTGCTGCTGTTTGAGAACGTGTTTCTTATTACTCTCAAGTCTAGGGTATAACCAATTGCTTTTGGCTGTTATTGCTCTAAAGAAAACTAAGAAGCTTTTGTCAGTACCACCCCACCCTCTAAGCTATGGGTGCCTTCGAGTTATAAACTGTGCTCTTCAGAGGACAGAACTTCCTCTTATGAGAAAAATATTGTCGAGATGAACAGAGAGAGAGAGAGGAGAGAGAGAGACTTAAATCCTCCTAGCCGGACTGTTCCAGCCCTGCTTACCTGACGGTTCAGAAACCGTAGGTAAGTATGTCTTTGGCTATCAGTGTCAAAATTCCACCCACCAATATCTGTGAAGGGAGCTGCGAATACAATTCATTCAAAAGAAATTATAGAGCACTTATATTTTAGAACACGTGACCTTTTACATCAAATACACACTCGCCCCCACCGCCACCCCACCAAGATTGGATGCTAAATTGTATTGAGTATATTTTTAAAACATCACCTGATCTTTTGGTCTGAGCTTAGTACTTGGCTTACCAG